GATCATTTTGACCCTGTGTGTAAAAACTACAGCGGAATCTTGTTAAAGAGATAACAGTCTGTGCTTCTTCCTAAAGGCTATTCTCTGTTGGGTTTATTTTTATAAGGCGCGAGTAAACACACCTATTGATACTAACATTGACTTTATAACATTACAAGTGTACTACCTAAAGCAGGGGTCCTCAAACTCCGGCCCCCCAGATGTTGCTGAACTACAACTCCCATGATTCTTTGAATTGCATAGATAGTCAGAGAATCATGGGAGTTGTAGTTCAGCAACATCTGGAGGGACTGAGTTTGAGGACCCCTGACCTAAAGGATTGGCCGGTTATCATATTGGCTGTTCACTTAATGAAGAGCTGCAGTGAAGCCTCATAGATTATTAACCATTTTAGTAATAGTCCACTGTGTTCCTTATTCTCCCTGCACTTTGAGAATGAATGGTCTGACAGCAGTTTAAGGGATGGCACTCCTTAGATACACTGAACATCTATCTTTTACATACAGCCAATGAAGCTTTGTAGGAGGAGTGCAGCTCATCTTTCCTCTTTTTTTTCACACCATTCAACCTCGCCTCTCTATTCTGAATGCTCTGTTGCGCTCACTCACATAACAGTTTCTATCGTCTCATTATCTTTCTTCCGTCACACTGCTTTCATTTGTATCTATGTATCTCACCCTTTCTGGTTCATTCTCTTGTTTCTTATTCCTGCTTTCTATTCTTTTCTCCGGGGTGTGTCCCTACCCCACAGTAGCGCACTGCAGAGATGGGATGTGTAGTTACCATGGAAACCTTCTCTCCTCAGCACCAATTGAACCTGATGCTTCAGCGCTGCACATCCAGTGATACATAGACCACACACACCACTTAGTGTTCCATAATATGTATTAAATGGTTTTATCACAATATGCATTCTACCTTAATATTCCCCTCTCAGAATAAATATTTAGAGACTTACATATGCAATGCAGCAGAACATAGTCTACACATTTTGCAAAAACATTTATTTTATAGAGAACATCATCCCACCAGGCACTGCTTACCCCACTAGCACAGCACACTGCCTATGAGAGTAAGATACATTGCACAAACATCATACTACATCACATTCAAATTGAAATGCATGAAAATCATTGTAATTTCCAGTGTTCATTTTTTGAGAAAAAGTTCAGATTTCTCCCAGTGTTTTCAGAACACAAACAGTGGTATAGGGAACGTTGCTATATTGGTTGTGTTCATTAAAAAAAAAAGGTAGTAAAACTTACATTTATTTAGATTCCCATGACTTGAATGCTGGTTTGCAAGCCATATATCAAACAACAGGTAAATGATCTGTTATAACATATCATTATTTTTTTTTATTTTTTTGCCAAAGCACAGCCACGATTAATATTGAAAGATAAATGTATACTCCATTAGTGACATAGATCATACATTACCGGAGCCACTGCTGATAGCTGCATTGGAAAAGGCAGCAATTCATGCAGATTCAGTAATAATGACTTTCTATAAAAATAAATCAGTCCTCCCTGGGAGTGAAAGGGTGAAACATATCAACCGATTTTTAAGGCTCAATTAAAAGGCGTTTGGTTACAAAATTCCCAGAGGGCAGCCATATTTAAAGATCCTGTCTGCAAATTATTCTTGTGTTATTTCTCTAGAGGTGAATTTGACTACAGGGCGATGTGATTAGAAGTATTTTGGGATTAAGATGAAAGGTCCCCCCTTATTCAAAAGAGGCTGGGGGGGGGGGCGTAAATAAAATAGATGTAGAAAGCAGATTTGTGGATCTAACTACAGTGTGGATTGGAGAGAAAGGGTTAAGCAGTGTCTCTTTTATCTTGCTCGTTAGCAGGAACTTCAAAGCAGTAGCACTAATATTTGAAGCCTCGTTTGCATACATCACTTTTAATGAGGGCAGATCTCTGTCTGTTTGAAAACTGTACATGCCTAGTGCTACAGCTCAATAGCATATGCCTACTGCTGGATTGCAAGGGTTACTATATACAATTGACTTTTTTTTTATTTTGTCAGAGAGCTGCAACAGTCCTATAAGCATGAAATATGTAAGGGCTTAATTTGCAAATTTGCTCCCCCGGCAATAGCTTTATTATGGCTCTTAGAACATGCATCCTTATCAAAGCCAGAGTGGCCCAGAATCTCATTATTTACAGTGACTTGGCTTAATATATATGTAACAGAGGTTTCACTTTCAACTGCCCCTAGCTAAGCAAAATGGGAATAAAGCCATAGATTGCATGCATGTTTAGATAATGCATCTCCTGCTGTCTCAGGTCATCGTAGATGTAATTTTAAAGCTGGTGGCAAAGCTAAGGGTAATAGGTGTTGAATACCCATCTTGGGGGCAATATTTCTCACATTAGATATTTGGAGACAGAATAAGGGAATCAATCAACAGTGTAACACACTTATTATTCTTTTTATGAAAGTAATGCATTTATATGCAAAAAAAAAGAAATCTCATAGATTATAAATTTGTTTGAGCAGGGCCTTCTTCACCTCTTGTCTCTGTTATATTCTCTATGTAAATTGCTTATTGCAAATTATCCCCAGTTTATAATTGTAAACCACTGCCAAACCTGTTGGCACTATATAAATGCTAATAATAATGATAATATGCGACTAAGATCTCTCAGCCAATGCCGGACCATATCCCATAAGCTACTGCAAAACAGAATTTTATCAGATATGATGGAAAGATCTCAGTTTTCTATTCTAGTTCTGGTCATCAGAGTGTTCAGTAATAAAAATAAAAAAAAGATAATGAAACTACTTCCACGTGCCTATAGGAGCTGGTTGGTGGCATCAGTTACCATTCAAGTGTAACTTTATTCACAGTTATTAAGAAAGTGTGTATGCCTTTGCTATATTTGATGGATAGCTTGTAAAGGGACGAATGACTGATTTACAGCTGTATTTTTGTTGTCTCACTACTCTTGTATCAAGGCGCTATAAATAGAGGATGACAATGTGCTATAGAAAGTTAGGATCTGGATTGGTGGGTTGTTGAGGACTATGAAGACATATATTGGATCACCAGACATTACAAGACTCAGATTTGTTGGGTGAATTTTGACTAGACTTTGGGCCTAGATTCCTTATTAGGTACACTGGGATCTAAAATATTATACTTTGACATCTTGATATTAATCCTTACAATATACAAGATGGGACTCAGAATGACAGGAAAGAAAGTTAAATAGGACAGGGTGATTAAAAGGGTTCAGGGATGAAACCAAGAGGTCTGATCATACAATACAGTATCATGAAGCAATGATCTGAAATGGGGTCTGTAAAGAACATGTTGTATAGAACAAGGACAGAAGGACATGGAAGCTGAGGAAGCAAAATCTGAGGTGAGGGGAAGCTGTGAAGGACAAATAGGCAGAGAGGGAACGAAGAACAATAAGGGCCAGATAATGGCTAGAAAACAATGGAGGTGTAGAAGATAGTGATTTGGAGCAGTCGGTGTGTATAGCTATCAATGAGTCCCATTGAACATGATGCTTCAGCGCTGCACGTCCAGTGATACCAATGAGGACCATTTATGGCTTAGAGAGATAGATACCACTTAAAAGACTCACCTATCTTCGGCTCCCAAGGAAGAAATGGGCTTGCTATTTGAACATAACTAATAGAACTCTATGAATTAACAATTCACTAATAGTTGGCCCCTGGTAATGGACCATGTTATGCCCCACTTATGGATGGATGGATCCAGTTTTCAAACATTCGTGGAGTTCATTGGCCTTGACATATTCACCACTTAGGGATTTTTGCTGCTACGTGGCACTGACGTAACACAACAAAACCTATCCCATGTAGTTAATTTTACCTCCGCTCCTGATGAAAAGTAGTGTTGGTACCAGCAGAGAGGAAACAGGTATCTACAAAGGAATAAACAAGGTAGGAAGGGAACAGAGAAAAACAGAAGATTCATCAAGGAATGTTGGACAGAGAGACTGGGAAGGATGAGATATGGAACAGAAAGACATGCGTCTATGAGGAATCACAAAGGGTCAGAGGAACAACACAATATAAAAGGAACATGGGCCCAACTGGGTGTTTTTACAGTGAAACTGTGGACATAAGGGGCTATTAAGAATATTCTGGAGAAAACACAATAGAATATTAAAGATCATTAGGACTGTAAGAGATGCAGAGAAACAATGATATATGAAATGAGCATAACATTCAGCATGGAAACATATGGGTAATGCCTTTAATTTAAATGTATTGATGAGGATCCTATGTGTCAACATCTCATTAATGTGCTTGTGGTACAATGAAAATTCAAGATTTAATTCCTGCTATATTGCTTTCATACATTGCGGTATATACCTATAGGACTACTGCATGTGCAATGATGTAATTCACAATACAGCAGCCATACAGTAAACAAACACTGTATAGTAATCATACACTATACAGTTACCAGAAACCATCTCAATTCATTTAATTTCCAGATAACGAGAACAGCAGCATTTTTTTCGTATAAAAGTGGAATTTAGTGACATCTACTGGGTATGTGATGCTATGACACTATTCATAACATTTCCTTATGCACAACATAGATGCCTCCAGGGGTATAGTAATTAAACAGTGAATCAAGGTGAATTGACAAGCACACGATTTAGGCTAATCCTACTTCTTTGTGTCGTGAACCCCATCACTCTCAGGTGGGCAGTTGACTTACGTCAGTATGTGAAATGGCTATTAATCATTATTTGAAAGCACTAGACTCAGAATAATGATACAAAATCCCTCTCAGCACCACCCACACCTATTCTAGTGTAAAAGCTGTTATCACCAACACAATTAAGAAATTGCGCATCTTGGGATGTCTCCAACCGAATTAGATTAAAAACCCACAAAACACAATTTAGCAAAAATATCTATGAAACCATAGTAAATATGATATTGATCACTTTGGTCATGTGATTCTGATAACAAACAAAGGCAGAACTTAATAAAGGAACATTTATTATGAGCAAAAATACTTACAGTACATACAAATACAAAATATGTTACAAACAAATTACATACACAAACCAACAAACAAAAATAAAAAGGAGAACGTTAACAGAAAACCCTAATACTCCCAATGCTAGTAAAATATCATTATTTCTGTCCCAACAGAGATTTTTAAGGGAGATTGGAAAATACACTGCAAATTCAATTTGGTTCTCCAAATGGATTAGAAAGTTTCATCAAATATTATATACACTTTTTCTGCTCATTGCAGTTCCTAGAGCAGCCCTTCTGAGTTGGAGGCTGTAGGAATTCTAATTTTATTAAGGGTAATTAATGTATTCCAAAACCAGGCTGAAAATGCACAATATATTATATTTATGTACAGGTGTTTCTGGTATCTTTATAACTATATCTTGGTGACTCCAGATGATTGATTTGAGATCATACATGACATATATTTCATATACAATGCCCCAAAAATAAAATAGCATGTAAAATGACTTCCAAAACTTAAATTGAATGAATTTACAATACACATTGCAAGTGTGCTGTCTCTGTCAGCTTACCTGATAAGGCATGATAATGAAGACCAATCAACCAAAAATCCAGATTATTTTTCAGTTGCAGAAAAGCATAGAATTATTTATATAGTACATGTGAAAGAGGAATAGGGCAACAAGTTCTAAATTGGCCATAGGAATTATGGTGAAATCAGTTTATAATTAAAAAACAAATGGCAAGTTTTACAAGATGGTGGGGGCTATCATACCAATATGATGAATATTTGACTAGATAAAAATGAATAGAAGTCCTCATGACCTTTGTGTAAGCATATAAGACATGCACTATGTTACTAACATTTCTTGCAAACATTAAAACATGAAATATGGAAATAAATTAGTCACATACATATTACCCAAGAAAGAGTTCATTTTTAAAATGACTGCATCCTTCATCAAAGTATACAGTCACCCACACCATTTTTAAATCCAACTGGACAATCCTTTTAGACATTAGCAAAAAGCTGTGGAAAATGAAGAATATATTGACAGGGCTCAATGACATATGGTCCCAAACTGTCAACTCATCATCATGAATAGTGTGCTGAAGACCACACCTGATGAAAACTATAAATATATGAAAAAAAAAAAAAACTAAATTATTGCACTGTTTATCAGGAAAGACAAAATGATCTTAATACAGAAAAAGAGAAGAAAAACTATGAGTGGTCATGAACTTAACCTAGATGTGAATGGCATGGGGGTCTCCAAACCATGAGACTAGGTGAATACTCAATCTGGTTTGATGATTATAATGAGTAGGACAATTGGCTGACTAGGTGAGACAAGCCATTGATGCTTGCTACCAATTCAGTGTCCAAGTAAATGGACAAGGTATATGCACCAAACTACTGCAGTAAGATAGTTATGTGCTTAGAGTATCCTTTTAAGCAAACGCGCTAATAAAACTTTACAAAATGTGTGCGTCTTTGTAGTAAATGTACTGTGATAGCCTTATAGAAAAATATAGAGAATTTGTGTGCCAACAGAAATAGCTCACTCATAAATTCACTTATGTGGCTTAATTTGCCAGTTTCTCCCTACAATTCTTGATAAGTATCCCCAAAATATTGGACTTCTAAAAGCAGTGGATTGCATGCAGTCTCAAGGTTCACAATGGCTGCATACATGTTTGTATTTGTCTATGTGTTTGATTTCACCTAAAATCCATTTATGTTAATGCATTACCCACTCTTAAACATAGGGAGAGCTGGTCATGCTGGCATGTGGCGTCAGTGTATTTTAAAATACATCTTTTTACATAAGCCTTCAATTACCTTAGCAGGGTCAAAGCTCACAAAGGAATTTACAGTGTATGCTGCTGAGTTTTCACGCTGTAATGGAGCTCACCTTAGTAACTACCATAGGCTCTAATCCACAAGTGTTATCACTTCAGGGGTGCACTTTGGACTCCAATAAACCCCAGTTTCTTTAGGAAACAATAAATAAAATGTATTTTTCCTCTTTATAAAACAGGCTTTTCCCTATGATTCACCAGCATAATTAAACATTTGGTATTTTAAATGCTCTATTTTAAACATCTTGGAATACAGTTTTCCCTTGCACTCTCTTTTTAATCAAAATGATGATTAATTATCCAGTAGAATAACAGGTACAATAACAGGTACAAACACCTCAGATACTATTTCTAACATTTTACATTTTGGGAAATCTGAGTTTAATCTACACATTTAATTTATTTTATTTCAAATTATTCAACACAAATGTGTTTTAAAGGGCTCTGGGTGTATATGACTTGAACACACTAAAAACGTAAACACAGAAACCATTTAGACATTTATAAACAGTTAAAATGTATACATTGATGCACTGATAAACTATGAAATCCATTAGGCAAGGATGCAACACAGTCAGGGTAATTCAATGGAAATTCTGAAAAACTGAAAAGAGAATTTAATATTTTAAGGGCAAAATAATCAAATAGGACCGATTCTCTAATTTAGCTGTTTATAAACTATATATCTTTTATCTACATTTTTCCGTTTCTGTGTCCATTCTCTTCAATTCTCGGTATAGAGAATAACTCCGACTGACATTGATAGCAAACCTTGATATTTCCAATGTCCCTCAAACATTCTAGCCAAATATAATTGGACATATAATCTATTCAAATCTAAAGAACAACATAACCATTACAGTTTCATATAGTTGAAGGAAATTTTAGCATCGTCATACTTGCACAAGAATATATTCCTTTGGACATGGTGTCATAGCTTCCTGTTTACATGTATACAATGCACAAGTACAAAACTATCTCTAGGAGAAGATGAGAGTTAGTTAGACAAAACTGGGACCAAAACGCAAAATGTTACCACCTGAGTATATGAATAGTCTATTAAAACAAAACTAACGATGGAAGAAATAACAGAAATAGATAAATAATAAGCAAGGAACTTTATTAACTGTAATGACGTATATGGAAGCTACAAAGAATAATAAAAAACAGAAAAGAAAAACACTACATACACCTAAAAGAGACACAAATTAGTGATGCACCCACACTGTGAATTAGAATGATTTAAAAAAGAGAACCAATAAATATCTTAAATATAGAAATCAGTGAATATCACCCACTCAGGGTATATATATATGTATAATTTAGAGGATACTTAAATCTCTGATTAGAGTATAAGATATATTAGAAATTGGTTAGACCGTAGAGGGACTTAAATTATTGCCAAAAATGTTATCTTAAAGCAATATAGTAGGGTATATTTCATAGATTTGGAGGTTAGATTAAATCGACCTCTGATTCAGTAATCACGTCGCTCAGAGGTTAATTTGTATCATTATAGATGCTAATAGCCAGAAAGTAAAAAAGTGTATTTTGACATAAAAAAGCAGAGTAGGCAAAACAAATGTGAATTTGGCTTAGATATTTAGATTGGATGCCTGTGGAGTCTGGGCTATAGTAAACACCAAATGGCTAGGTTAAACATATGTTCCTGGTATAGCCATGATCCCACATTATTATTATTATTATTATTATTAATTTAGCGCCAGCTTATTTTACAATAAAAGGGGAAATTACCAAATGAGACAATAACAAAATGTAACAGGAACAATGTGTAGTTGAGGGCCCTGCTCAAATGAGCTTACAGTCTAGACCAGGGGTAGACAACCTATGGCACGTGTGCCATGCACGGCACTCAAGGTGTCTTTGCACGGCACTCAAGGCTGCTAGAGCCAAACAGGCTTTGGCCTATCAAGAGTTCCAGGCAAACTTCAGATATCTGCTAAAACGAAAAGGTGGTGAGGGGCAATCCTCAATGTATTGAATGCAGCACATAAAGGAAGTGATCTCAGATCACTTCCTTCCAGAACTTGTGAATGGGAATCCGCACTGGAGTAGAGCATCGTGCAGCTGCTGTTGCAGCTCCTGTCCTTGAGCTGCACCTGGCCAGCCTGGTCCCCACTGGAACCCAGGGAAGCTACACATACTGCTAAATATACACAGAGCTGCAGAATAACTCTCTCCTGATCCAAATAATACATACAGCCCACACACAAACATACACACAATCCCCACGAACTGAACACTACTGACAATCCACATACACACACACACACAACCCTTCATACAGCCTCTCACATGCAATACCCCAAGCAGCTCCACACATACACACAACGTGACATATCCATCCACACACAATTCCACAAGCAGTCCCCATACACAGTTCACATTCATAGGTACACGATACCACAAACTACTCATGAACATATACAATATTATAGCTCAGGTACGCACAAATACAACGATACAAAGCAACTGCAGTATAAATAACACAAGCAGAATACGGCAACATGCACATCTAAATTTTTAAAAAATAAGACTGGCATGCTACGGGACAATACAATTTTATTTCGGCACAGAGCTGCTAAAAGGTTGCCTAGCCCTGGTCTATACCGTATTCATAGTTTATCTGGTATTGCCATATTGATATATATATATATACATTTAAAATCTGAGATTTATTGGTTCTCTCTTTTAAATCACTCTAACTCGCAGTGTGGACATATCACTAATTTGTGTCTATTTTAGGTGTATGCATTGTTTTTTTTTCTGTTTTTTATTATCTGTTGTGGCTTTCATATATATCATTATCTAATAAAGTTTTTTGCTTTTATTTATCTATTTCTGTTTTCATTGTTAGTTTTGTTTTAATAGACTATTCATATTTTCAGGTGGTAACATTTTGAGTTTTGGTCCCAGTTTTGTCTGAGACTAACTCTCAGTGACCTTCACTTTTGAGAAAGCTGTAAGCGAAATGTCAAGTGGAGATTAAGGATTGCCTACAAGGACTGGTTTTATAGTTCTTTTTTACTATATAGTTCACTTTTAAATAGTTGTATTCATTCTGTTTATTAATAAAGATTCTGTTTTAATACCCAGTCACTCTTGAGCTCCTTATACTCTCACCATCACTCTGCTGTTCCGGATCTACATATATCCTTAGGTAGGGATTGTTCCACCTAAAGCTCCATACACTAGAGCAGGTCATTGCTCTAGCAAATGTAAGTAGGTCAAATATTATTTACTTTTTCTACTTTTACATACGTACTGTACCATTGGTAAACATCCTTATTTTTTTCATATGATGAACCGCACTACCTTGGGAATCTGATACCAGCAAAAAGAAATCCTTAGACGGGGATTGTTCCGTCCAGGCTCCTAAAATAGAGCTTTTTAAGCTCTGGAAAACGTGAGTGCCCCTTTGGAATATATCTTTATCACCATATTATTCATAACATACTGCACTATTATTGTACTTTTTATTTCCTTTTTTTAAGAGTAAGACACATGATTGCGAAATCTGCTGCTACCTGTGTATGTATGATTTTATTATAATAATTCTTGGCGCTGTCCACCTAATTTATTAGCTAGTTTTGTTCTATTGTTCACAAGGTAAAAGGAACTCCTTGTTGGTGAATAGCTGCTTTATTGGATAGAGAGCACTTATCACTTTTTTCACTATCCATAATTTGTTAAAAGTTTGTGAGTATTTAGTATTCAGATAATTATTCACCTAATTGGGGAATTGCAAATCATAGGCCAACAATTCCTGAACTTGGTTCCCAGTTTAATAAATAAACTCTGTTAGATATAGCTAATAGTGGTCACCCAGGTACCTTGCAGATTAATAATGGGAATTCTTATTACAATGACCTTTCATCTTAAAGTGTAGATTATTAGGTACTATGACGAGATTTCCTCACATTATGTTGCTGTTGGACCTTGAAAATTTGGCCTATATATTAAATAAATCAAATTGCCTATATACAGGTAACTCTCACGGTGGCCTGAACTTATATCATGCTTCATATAGCAGGCACTATAACTTGATATAAAATGAAAACTCCAATTACTCTGCAGAACAGCCATGAAAACGAAATGGATGAAGTTATTCGACAGATCGATGGATTTTCAATGGAAAGAAACAACTTTGGGAGAAGGTGTGGAGGGAAAATACCCAATTCAGGCAGGGTTTTCCCTTCTGACTGTAATATGCTTCCTGTATCATTACCCCCTTCATTATTTGTGATGTGTTTCGCATAACACTATTTACATATATTTAATATTGAAAGTCTATTTAAAAGAGGTGTTGTTATCTTAACATGATGATCCAGATTCCCTGTAACGTTTACCAGTCCAGGCGTGTTATAGTTCTACATATTCACACATGATCCATCCTCATTAATGACTCTTCTTGATTGCTGTTATTTTCTTCTGAATAGATACAATATCATAAAATGGATCCCATGATATACTGGATCTGAAGAACAAAGTGAAATAATGTGAGACTCTAAACAGGGAGCAAACTGTCTAAATAGTTGTCAATGGGTGTTAAAGGGCTTAATGTAGTGGTTCTAGTGTTTATAGCATGGCCCTGCAGTCCCTAAAGCCTTATCACTGTAAACACTGTCTTTTCTGAGAAAAGGTAGTGTTTACATTGCTGGCTAGTTTTACCTCTAGTGGCAGTCACTTAGATGGTTACCAAAGGTGTTTCCTGTGTCAGTTGTGCACAGTGTGCAGCACTGGCATTCAGCATCTCCACACTTTGCATGTAGGCACTGAACACTCCCCATAGAGGTGCTTTGATTCAAGGAATCTCTATGAGGACATGCTCATTGACGAAGCACTGCATTTTGCCTTGCATGCTTAACAGCGTCCCAATGCTTTACTATGGGAAAGGATTGTAATGGCTGAGGTCATCAAAATTAATTATCTCAGTTATTGAGTTGGGGCTCTGGGTGGGAGACAAGGTGAGTAAAATTACCTTTTTACTGGGATCAAAGGGCGCTGGGAATCTAAACAGTTAGCGTAACAATATAGTGTCAGGGATACCTGCTTGTGTTCCTGACACTATAGTGTTCCTTTAAATAGAATGTTTTCTCTAATCCACAGAATGTGATTGGCTGCAGGGGCATTGCCAGGGGAGGGTTGTCAGTGGCTAGAGCCTCAAGTGTGGTTCTGAAAAGCTCCAGGCAAAGTATAGCTCCATTTTATTGTAAGCCCACAGTCCAATATAATACTAAGTTAGAAATAACACATCCAATTACATAATCTGTTATGTGTATAATTTTTCCCTTGGGCTGAAGCCCCTGGTCTTTTTGTCACCTAGCATTGCCGTGATGGGCTGTATATGAAAACTGAAGTCACATCTTGTAAAAAGCTAATACATTAAACACAGATGGTTCCCAAAAGATCGCAGTGATTAATTAATTGATTTCTCCCCTGCAGTTTATGACGTCCACATATTACATGGCCAGCACTTTTTGTGTACTGTCCATCAGCATAAATAAGTGATATGTTTCCAGGAACACGTAGTCAATCTGGCAAACACAGGCATACGTATGCTAGTTCCAAACCATTTATTTGCAGTATAAATTTAGTGCCCTATTTAAAAAGGTAAAATACGCATTTCATACTTTATCACCTACATCTCTTTGGAGAAATACACTGCCTTTTCTATAATAAAGCTTTATCTCTCTCAAATATAACTGTCTTCTGACCTTCACAACGCAGGTAGGAAAACATTTGTATAGTGCGGAATATGAAAGCATTATTTCATTGCAATGATTCTAAAAATTCAAGATTAGTTCTTTCCTTTCATATTCAGCCTTTGTACTGCCTTATATGGCAAATACTAAGTAGTTAGGTATCCAAATGTATGATGATTTAAAATATTGAGGGTGATTTATCAAGGCAAAAACAAGAGCTATTCTGTGGCAAAGTGTCAACTAAAGAGCAATCACCATGGAAACCAAGAGAATGTCTCTCAATATTTAGCACTTTGCTCCCAACATTATTTTGTCTTGATAAATCACCACCATAATGAGTTAGAACTTATATAGGAACTAACATCTTAAATTATTAACATTCATATTTTCCACTATTACATTGTGCATTAAGTTAACTTAGAAAATAAAATATAGGTGATAATGCTTATAAGATTTGACAGGGGTAGTCTATTTGCAACTACCAAGCAGTAATTGTTCCTAAACTCTAATTGTCCCCCTGCATCGGTGGAATATTGACTTGCATGGTTGCTCGGTCAGTCAGTAAATAGCGTTTGGTCAGCTCAGCTTAACACATATGTAGCTCTAGCCACTGACAACCCTCCCCTCAAGGACAAAAGCCCCCGTTCCCTCTCCAGCAATCTTAAAGTTGCAGGCAAGTATGCCAGTATATTGCTAGCTGCGGGTGAAAAATGTAAAAGAATATTTATTCTGGTACACTCTAAGCTCATGAAAAGGTCAACATAGTCCTTCTCGGGGAGAAAATGTATGCAGGGCTGTCACAAAAAATTGAAAGTTCTCCTCAAGTTGTGCTGCCGAGCTAAATCCCTATTAAAATCAAAGGAAACTTGGTTCAGGCAAACTCAGGAAGGTTACTTAATATGGGAACTGTACATCTCTTAAACGTTAGATTTTGTAAATTATAATATTATATAGTATCATAGTATTTAACCAGGAATGACACATTTACCAAGTTTGTCCTGGGGTCTGAATTTTATTGCCCTACTTAATTATACTCATTTCATCTACCTTAGAAAGATTAAAGGCTGAGTTGACCATGAATTGTTACTGTGGAATATTGTAGTTGGAGTCAAATCCACTGAGTTATCTCACTGGTAATAGCTACCTTCTATTCTAGAATATTTATTATGAAGTCAAAACCTCCCAAAAACTGACAAGGAATCTAGGATGAAAACTTGTGCAATTTGTTTTGAAAACATTTTTATTTCATCTAAATTTTGACCGATTGGCAACTTGGAAGTGTTCGAATTTCCGAATTGCTGCAATACGTAAACAAAATGAGGATGAATGGATCCTTAATGTATCAAATCGATTAGTATCAAATCCTTTTGTATTGACAAGCATAGCAACTTAGGTTATCTACTAAACAACCGAAAGAGCAATGTGAAGAAAAGGATGTTTCTTAATTTTGTTCTTTTAGCTGTTTAGTAAATAGCTTCCTAGCATGCTATCCTTACATAGGATTGCCTATGTAAGGATACCAAATTATTGTGCTGTTTAGCAGATAGCTCCCTAATTTGGTACCCTTGAAGAAACATTTCTCCAGTGAAAACCTGCATACATTTATTTATGCATCTTATTATTAGGGGTATATCTAAAAACAGTTTGCAAAGCTCCAGTTCTCTTGTCTGCTGCCTTTGCAAGTCCTCTCCTTCTAACCTTGCGCAGACTTTCTGTGCTTGTCCAATCACAGACTTTACGAATCTGAACAATGAAAAGAGATAGCAAAGCAGATGCTTAGGGCAATTGTCTGCTCTTGAGTTTAGCTTTTCTGAGCTAGACAACCAGGAAGTAACATGACCTGCTGTCTGATTGACGTCCGGGGGGGTGTAACAAAGTTAATTTATAAACGTGACAATTTCTATTGAAATCTGCACTTTTCATAAATTAAAAAGAGGACACTCTTCACACATACAGCATTTCAACAAGCTCAAGGTCTTTAGGGGTCTGGAGTGTCCATTTAATAATGGCAATCCTACATAAGCATATCAAATTAACAAGCTATCATCGAAACGGCTGAAAGATCAAAATTAAGAAAAGTACTTTTCCTAATTTTGATCTTTCAGCAGTTTGCAGATAACTAACTAAACTGGTACTTAATAACTTTGTTACTGCCACTTCATTCATTTCGCAGACGGAATAATGGGCTTCTGAATAGATAGACTAGTGCTATCCATCCAATCTATCTATCTATCTACAGGAAGCATAGCAACATATACGGAACAGATTAAGGGAACAAAATGTCATTGTCTCTTACTTGAGGCTCTGCATCCAGCATTCTCTCTCTTCATGGCTTTGGGCAGATAGACGGTATGATTGGTGGTTCCCTTGGACCATGCGACCATCAGCGTGTGTCTTACAAGCTTTGACTGTCTGACCCCTCGCATGCAGATCAAAACAGTGCTTGGAACACAAAGAATGTAAATTGCAAGAGAAATATAGAGTGAGCGTAAAAATGAAGGGGTATAATAAGTAAAATGTAAATTATTGAGGAAATAAAAAATCATGGAGCAAATGAAAGCATAACAGACTATGATAATCTTTGAAATTAATGGAATTAATGGATAAAAATGTGAAAACATTATATTGAAATTTCCAAATATTTGATCTGTGACTCTTCTACTGATAATTAATACGGTCTATTTTTACTTACTGGCTTTTTGGGGTCTTCAGCTCTTTCAACGGAAAGATTCTCCAAGGGGATTATTCCAAGAGGTTCTTTATCCTTTTTAGAAAGAAAGACAAATTGGAGTTAGTACTTCCCTCATACATGTAAGAGGTGCCAACCCATTTCTAACACCATTATATATTTCTCGTTCTCACCGTGGTGCACTCAAAATAATACAGGCAGTTGTCCTTGAGAATAAACCATCGTTTTTTCCATGTTTTCACACGACCACCTTTAAAAAGAAAAGCTCCAAAACTGAAATTAAGACTATAACAAAAATAAATTAAGTTAATATTTTTTTCCAAACATTGATATGAAAGATTCTCGACATAAGAAGATTTTTTTTCATTGTTTTTATTTTAACTAACACAGTATCCCAATATTGATTCTCACAAAGTAACACCTCACGTCCACTAGTGGCCTATCGATCATCTTCCTCAATTTCTTGTATTATCTTTTTGTTGACTCTTTAGTTTCACAAAACATCAGATACAACATCAGGCAATATCAGATCTTGTCTGAGAATCTATATTATACCGTTCACAGTAAATGGTAAGTAGGAAATATTTTTAGTGCTGTCCAATGGAGTGAAAGATACATACAAGTTAATGTATTTATTTTTTATCTACATATCCGAGGCACTTGTTGTATTGGTGGTCGGTTTAGCTCTACATTTCAGAACCGATAAAGTAACCTCTGAGGCGGAGGGAATCATGGGAAATCAAAAGTGATATTTGTAGAGTGACCATTGCTCGCAGGCACAGTCAAAATTGATGGTGGGCCTGGAAATGCAATCCCAGCAGTTTGAATAGGATTGGAAAGTGTAATAGAGCGAAACTGATAGCTAATAGAAGCAAGTTCCTGTCACTAGAATTGCAATTTACTTTCTGATATGTATCCAATGGAAACAGCATATTGTTTGCTGTAGCTGATTCATATGTCCCTTTAAATATTGTATATTGACCCATATACTCTTTACAGGAAGAAGAGAGATATATACACACACAACAAATGTCAGCTTTTCTTTGTAAACTGAATAATATATCCACTGCATAGTCACTGGATTATATGATGTATTTTAAATTTTATTTGTACAAAACATGGTCACTTAACTGAAAGTCTTTATTGATTAAACAAACGGCATCAGCTGAAAAGCCAGGGACCAAAACCAAATAGTGTAGGACCAGGACCATCAAAACAAAGTAAAGTCTTAGCAGATATTTTAGTCAGGATAAGCAATCAAAATTATAGAGTCTTTTTCTGGTTAAACAAATAGGCAAAGATTTACCATAAGATCCAACACTGATCTAGGGAGGCAGGGGTTAACCAAGTTAAGCTCAGACAGACAAAGGTCAACAAAGGCAGAGAAGGCTTGTGACCCCCTAGGGTGTTTACAAAACAACTAAGCACACCACCCAGGGTGGTTGGTGCTTAAGTAGGGAAAAGGGAGAGAAGTCCCTCCTATATGGAGGGTTCTCTGGACCTATATAATCAAGAGGCCACTCTAGTGCAGGTAGGTGTCCACGCCCCGTATGTGGGTGGGATGCTATGTCGGTTTGACCACCTAGCTGGTTGTTGCCCACACTGCCCCTGAATATGTCACCATGGATCCCCTAGGGTTCTAACACCCTAGGGGGACCAAGGAGCAGTGTGGGGACACTGTAAGTATGGAATAAAGAGTGTCCACAAGAGGGGAGGTGGGCTGGAGGGCAGACAAGTCTTGCCTTCCTTCCCCTGCATGCTATTACTCACGTGGAGTGGCTGTAGGGTCCAGCAAGCCAGAACTATATGTGGCGCACCTTGCACTTGCAGCATGCTGCAGAAGAACGGATGAACCAGCCGATGGCTGGTGAGGGAGTCTGGAACGTCCCTCACTCCTGGGACGCAAAGGTAAATGTGGCACCCGGTGAGTGAGTATGGCACACCTAACCCTCTTGGGGTACTGTGGCAAAATGACATTAAAGGTGCTATGACCCTTGGCTTTTATTTCTCATAGAAGAAAGACATCAAATTTGGTTGTTGAGCTGCCTACCAGAACTGTACCAGTATATCAAAGCACTGAATTTCTTTCTCTTTTAACTGCGACAATATGTTGATTACAGTTCTGCTAATTAATATTTTGTGCAGCAAAGGGAAGATTTCAGAAATAAAGACAAGAAAGTGTGATAAACACAAGAGAAATTGGACTATTTCTCTTAATAAAACACAATTCATTGATTCCAAGCCTCTTGATACAGCACTGGTTAGAGGTTGCTAAGACTGCACTTATCAGTACTACATGACTATCTGCTACTTTTCCTATTCATTTCTTTCACAGGGAGACAAAGATAAAACGCACCTAACTTGAGTAGCCATCCTTCACGTTGTGGTTTGTAGAAGGCGTGAGTTGTCTCCCATGCATCCTCTTCCTCCGGCATTTTAAATGGTTCCTTCTTTAGACTTTCATACATTTCCTGCCATGGAGAACAGTATAACATTAAGTTATTGTAACTTGAATACAAGCAAGATAAAGTACATTCATTTAGCCAAGCTCATGGTTATCCTGTCCAAATGGTCTGCCAGACCTTGATTAATAAATGTTGTGCTCCAGGAGGAATTTGTAAGTAACCTCAAGCATGATGATTCTCAAAGTACTTATTAGTGTACTGAACCTCCCAAGAGGCATAGTCTGTGCTTCCTGGTAATGCACAGATCTATGTGAAAGATCTCTCCCACTACGCAGGTCAGTTTTATGGATACATCTCAGGCCCATATATTGCTCATGCAATGTGAGAAGGAGTATTTACTTAAGCAGCTACTGAAAAAGACAGTGCTACCACACATGGTCAAACTGCATCCACTGATTAGATCTGGCTGAAATTGAGACTTACTGTAATATGGAGAATCCAGTTAAAGGTAAATCAGTTTTCATTCTATAATAACATGGTTAATGTATGTGTGACAGTAGTCACCATCCCTGAGGGCTGAAGACGGACACTTGTGTAGGTCCCAGATTGCTATTATGTTTTAGTCACCCTGTGCCCATTATAGGTAAAGGTGTGTGTTTTTCTCCCCAGGGGAGCTGACATCGGAGGGGAGGAGAGGTCACCAGCGCCGAGGGAGTGATTCTGGGGGTGGAGGTGGGGCCACGGGAGGGGGACCCTGAGGGTGGGGGCACCCTCAGGGCACTATAGTGTCAGGAAAACCGCTGTGTTTTCCTGACACTATAGTGATCCTTTAACACAAGTGCTTGTATGTGTATGTTATTGGTGTGAGTGAGTGAGTGTGTGTATCTATGTTAGTATAGGTATCTTGAAGTGCATCTTGTTATGAAGGGCAGAGAAGGGTTTAATATAGAGTATTTTACAAAGGATGGAGTATTTTAAAAAGGAATTTGTGTCTTGGCAACCCAACTTTGTTTTTCTAGTTGCTAATGGGAATCATTAGTTCTCCCAGTGGATGAAATGAGTACACAGAGTTTGTGGAATGTGTTGCAGTGACTACCTTGTACACAAAATGTAGGTTTTGATTACTAACTACTGCATAGAAGAGTATAGGAAAATAGTGACAATGTAAAAAATAGTGACAATGTAACTCTGTAGAGAAGACCAATGAGGCCAGTAAATTAGTGCCATAGTGTTATTACCCTGCTTGGGGAAGTGTTCCTAATCATGGCCGCTGTGCCAGAAAGAAGCGTAAGGCAGGAGAACCCAGGAGCAATGTCGCACACTGGAGAAGAAGTGAGTATCAATGCAACTTTTCTTAAAGTAACTATATAGAAATAAAATTGTTAAACAAAGCATCAGATGACTACTCTCAGCCAATGAATAAGTGCCTGTGCACCAAAATTTGCACAGAACTGACATTTGCGAGTTGCGAGTTGTTTCTAGCTGATGATGCACATACAGACTACAGGCAGCACGACTACTTAAAATTACGAAAGTGATTATGAAGTAACCCATAGGCGTGTGCACGGGGTGTGCCGGGTGTGCCGGGTGTGCCTTGGCACACCCTTATCACCACGGCACACCTATGAATTGAGACCAGCAGGGGAGATCTCAGGATCTCCCCTGTCAGCTCATGCAGAGCCGGCGCTATCCGAGCGCCGGCTCTGCTCTAAGCCTCCATGGGCCGGTGGGGAGACAAAGATCTCCCTCACCAGCCCACAGCAGCATGGAGGGAGGCAGGAGAGGACCCGGGGAGCTCTAGCCAGCAGCTCCGCCGGGTTCCTCTCGCGAGATCTGAGTGTTGCCGTGGCAACGCTCAGATCTCGCGAGAGTGAACTCTAGCCCCGCAGGCTAGAGTTCACTCTCCACTGGACCACCAGGGAAGGCAGCAGCCCGGCCCCCCCTCCCTACATAAGGTAAGGGGGTGGGGTGCCCCACCTCCACCCCCACAATCACCCAAATATACAGCACACACACACAGCACACAAACAGCACACACAGCACACACACATACAGCACACAAACAGCACCCACACACACAGAGCACCCTCACACACACACACACAGCACCCACACACATACAGCACACAAACAGCACCGACACACACACAGCACCCACTCACATACAGCACCCTCAAACACACACAGCACCCTCACACAGCACACTAACAGGACCCTAACAAACACGCACACAGCACACTACCAGTATCCTCACACACAGCACACAAACAGCACCCTCACACACAAACAGCACCCTCACACACATCACACTAACAGCACCCTCAGAAACACACAAACACCCTCATCCACATAGCACACTACCAGCACCTTCACACACACATCACACTAACAGCACCCTCACACACAGCACCCTTGCACACACACACACAACAGTGTATGTATGTGTGTGTGTGTGTGTGTGTGTGTGTATATATATATATATATATATATAAATATATAAATATATGTACATACATATACACGTGGTGTGTGTCTGTGCTATAGGGTGCACACCCTAATGCAATAGGCTGCGCACGCCTATGAAGTAACCCTTTAAGTATTAAAACAAAACCTTTATTATCAATGTGTCACTTTGAGCTAAAACTTTAAACGTTGATAATAAAGGTTATGTTTTAATGCTTAAAGAAGACCCAGGGGCGCTTTCCATTTTGTTGGAAAATTTTATGTCTATCTTCTGCTGGATTTAAACACCAGGTCAAGACATTATTTTAGCCCCTGGGTGCAAGCCCTTTTGGACTTTATGCATGTATGCTTTAGGAGCTACTATATGTTAAATAGAGTGTGTCATGACAGGGTCACTTAAAAATAAATAACTGAGATATCTTTTAACCTGAGCATGACAGAGAGCCTGAAGCAGACAAGCTTGCATTATTCCTCAGTAACCACAATAAAAATAGAAGCCCTAGAGGTATTTTCACAGAGCCATATCTAGAGAGGCAAAACTAGAGTACCTCTGAGGTACAATGCTCTGGATACAGTCAGCAGATACATGTTATTGTGTACCTCTTGTGCCACAATATAAGAAGTTTGATTTTATATTCAAATAAAACCCCACAGAATCTGAAAAGTTCTTTGAGTAGCAGTAAGCATGTGTTTAACACTGTATAAGGATACAGCTGGAATGGTGACTTTTCAAATAAAAAAAAAAAAAAAAAAACAACATTCAGACCTAAGGCATTTTTCTAGTATATCTATTGCAATGTTTCATTTTGATAGATCACCAAGAAGCACAGGGGAGGCAGGAAATGTCCATGGTAACCAAAACTTAATGACAAGCCAAATATTGAAGTCAGGCAGTCCAAGGGTCAAAATACAGACAGCACCAATTCATAAATGGGAAACAGGCGAAGGCCAGGATATCCTAAGTATAGTGAGCAAAGTAACCCCAACTGTTTAGGATACACAGCTGAGAACAAAAGCACATTCTAACATTGCTGTGCAGCTGTTTCTGAAGTGGGTGCCATTATAGCCACAGTCCTCATCACAGTCCTTATTAATCCTCCTCACTCCACCATCTATCCGAGTGTTGGCTAGGAAGTAGACGTCATCGAAGCCATGACCCTTTGCTAGACCCCTTACTTCATTCCCTGCTCCAGTGTTAGGTAGGACAGGATCACAGCTTTGTCTCAGCTTTGTCACACAGAACCTGTACCTGGAAGACTCTTGGACAAAGTAAAGTCTCGGCTACTGACAGCTGAACTAAGAATGCCCCACATTCTGCAGAGCATCAGCCCACCTGAGAGCTGCCTGTCACTGGAGCGATGGAAGAGGGGAGCCCAGCGTCAATCTTTGTCTACTGTGTTTATGATCATTTATACAAAATGTACTTGATATTTCATTAGGAACACCCTGCCAAGGTTGGGTAAAATTGGCATACAAGGTGGTGGGTACTCTAATGTACCCTACACAGATATCCACGGTTTTGATTTTATATTCTGCTCACTACAACCAATACAAACATATTATATGATGTTTTGTTTTTATGCTTAATGATTACTTACTGTCAGTAGCTCAGTGGGTAGGTCTCCTCCAGCATGAATTCCTTTGTGTATGGACTGGAATTGCTGGAGATCTGGCTTCTGTTTTACATTCGGGTTATGCAAGGTAGTGTTCAGAATAATCAATGAGAAGGACACAATGTAGCAACTATCTGTTTGGATGAGAAAACTCCAAATTGTAATGGGAATATATCATTCACATTAAACTACATGTACAAAAACAAAATAAAATCCAACAATCCATCCTAAGTGAAACATTTATCCTAGCATTACCGAAAGAATCAAAATCTCGACCAAATTGTTACTTTATCCATTGTTTTCATGGAGCCAAAATGAAGATTTATGGTGAAATTAAATTCCGGTATTCCACTCATTAAACAGCACTCAGTCATGTTTTGTTTGTTTTATGCTTCTGGAGTAATTCACTTTCAGAATTTGTTAATCTAATTTAAAAAACTGGCATATTATTGTGATTCATAAGCAAATATTCAGAGAAAATTCAATACATGTATAATTTTTCTAATTTTACAAACCCACCCCCTGATTGCCTAATATTAGCCCTCTATCAAAATGAACAGTAACCAAATCCCCTTTAAATATTCGTCACATATATGCTCAATGGGCTGACCAGTTCTGGAAGGCTCTGAAATGAAGTCTTGAACAATTCACAAAAAAGTTCAAATTTAGAAAAAGGTCACAAGTCTATTAAGGTATAGGAGTGTATGCGCCCTCTCACTCTTTATGCTACATTTAAAGATCCCCTTAGAATGCCAAGTGGACTATGAGTTCAGATGGCAATAATAACTTCAAGCCCACTTTACTAATAGTAGACCCTTGGCACTAATGGTGACAAGCCCCATTTAGATTTTAAAAGGAATGTCCACGGCCCTAAACTTAAACTCACTATCTCTCTATTAAAATATATATGGGCATAGAGGAAGTCATTATATCCTTCATACAATACAATACATTTGAACACGTGATATAGTGAGGTAATACCCATGATAGGCTCATCTTTTTCCACACAAAAAAACAAAACACAACAACCATGAAAGTCCTGAGCAAAGATCATATAAAACAATGGTATGAAAATCTTCTCCTGGATCACATGTAAAAGCCTGGGTGCTCTTGGTGGTGAATGCAGACATTTGTGTTGGTTTTATTGGTCTTTACATACTAAATTGCTGTGATTTGCAACTATCAGTTTGGATGACAAAACTGTAATGGAAATTGTGCAGGAAGAATCTAAAATGCGATCCCTGAATTATCTTCAATACCCTAATTGCAATACATATTGCCCATTTTGAATTATAACTTTAGGATGATTCCAATTAAACCACCATGTAAATATAAAACAATTTCAAGTACTCGTGGAAAAATTCCTTTGCAGTAATAAAAGACCTCGTATTTCGAGATACCACCTGTATCAGAAGAAAACTCAAGGGGGAGTAAACTATCTAGATATTTTTAGATACCAACTGGCAAATAGCCTAACTTACGCCTCTCAAATACTATTGATAGCTCAAAAAGACCAAGATTGGTATAAAATAGAACAATACCTAGTGAATGTCGATAATTTAAAAACCCTGTTTTGGTGTAAACAATCAGAATTAGATAACATTTTGATTAAAGCTGAATGTCTAGTGTTGACAAATATACTGGAAGAATGGGTTCAATTAAAAAAAAAAGTATGCGAATAGTTGACAAATGCTCGATGTCCACCCTGTTAGAAGTGTTGGGATACAATATCATTGACTTTAAACTCCCTTTAAGTCTCCAAAAAAAAATCTTAGAATTCAGGACCTATACTCATTAAGCAAATTTAAAACCTTTAACCAGCTCCAAAGGGATTTTGGCTGCACAGTTAGAGAGCATTTTTCATTAATTAGAATCCAATATTACCTGGGTACTAAAATGATTGATCTACAAGATAAAAAACTAAAAGATCAATTTGATAGATTTATGTGCATCACCTCAAATAAAAAAAAATATGAGAGCATGGTATGATCTTCTTGAGCTCCTGATTTCAGCTAAGAAAGTTAAAGCTTTAAAAGGAACTAGCATGTCAAATAGCTAGAGAACTTTGGTGGGACAGTTGGTCTCAAGTGGGTAAGATACCACATTGCTTATCAATACAGGAACTCCACTTGAAAGTTGTATATAGATGACACTTATATCCTGAAAAATTATTTAAATTTAAAGCCCAAGATAACCCACTATGCTGGAGGTGTAACAAACAAAATGGCAATCTGCTACATATGTGATGGACCTGCAAAAAGATTGATAAGATATGGCAATAAAACTTGTTTTGATTTCTGATTTAATGGAGATAACAGTACCAACGTCATCTGTTCTCTTTTACTTTGGACTGGATAATATGACCTTTCCTAAAAAAGCTTTATCCATACAAATTCTAATGGCTATGAAACTTATAATAGCTAGAGAATGGAAAAATCAAACCCCACTTGAATGGTCAAGGGTGAAAAATCAGATTGCTACCCAATGCTTAATGGAAAAAGGGTACTATCCAGCAAGAAAGAAACTGTGGCTATATAACAAAATATGGGAAAAATGGTTGATCTTACAAAATTTGGAAGATTAATATGGAGTTTATAACAACCTTATATATATATATATATATATATATGTATATATATATATATATATATATATATAATACAACATATCCAAACCCTGGAAATATATATATATTTGAGCTTAAGATCCCTGCCAAATTGTGTATTTCATGTTTGTTGGTGTTAGCTTATTGTATATTTACTTTGTTGTTTGTCCATCTAAGCTCGCTGTAATAATTTATTAGGGAACAACCTAATGGAAGTGAGTATCAGCGATTATTAGGCTAAATGTAATTGGGAAAATGTGTTAAAGCTAAAATATGATGATTTTGTAAACAACGGTATACTGGATGTAATTAATTTTTCTAATAAAAAAAATAAAATAAAAAATAATAATAAGATTTTCCCCAAATTACAGACATTTTGAGATGCTTGCAGAACTAGTGAATCACTCTGTTAATGAAACTCCATTTCCCTCACAGACATTGGTAAATCTACTTGTGAAATTACTGAAATCTAGGCACAAAAGAAGCCTGCGTCACCAAACAAAACTGATTAGAATATATACTCAATGTGTAACTATAAAGTGTATTGCAATATGGTTTGTACTTCTTCCTCTGCTGGGAAAAATACTTCTTAAAATAAGGAACTTAAGCTTTCCCTATGACTCATATAGTTAGCTTCATGATCTCATTTGGCATGAAATATAACATTTACTTCCTCAATATTATTTGGACATACTTAAACACAGTTCCAATGCTAATTACTTTAGAGAGAAGTGCAGAGCTCTTTGCACTGTTTCTCCATATAATCTTCCTATGTGCATACTGTGCAGGTCTATAGCATTATAGATCTTACTGTAAAGAACTATATTTAAGATACCTAATTTCTAGACAAAGTAATACAAAACTAAAAGTGTACACCCTTTAATTGGAGCTATGACTGTCTTGGGATTTAGCCAATCAAATTCCAAGTCATGTAGTTAAGGGACATTTGCCTTCACCTGACAGAAATTATTGGTGCGATGGAGCTAAACACTCAGATTGAGTGTCTCTATTAAGTGTCCCTCTCTTTCAGCACTGGATATCTCTTATACCTGTCTCACCCAAACACTAGCTGAGACTTAGTGAAGTGTGTATAAGAACTGGTTTATTGAGAACAATGCACTTTTTTTATACACATGACCCCAACAGGGGTCCATGGCCTGAATTATGTAAAACCCATCCTGGCACCACTGAGTCTGAGAAATAACTAGATTAGTCAATCACCACTAACCACCAATGAGCTATAAGTCGAAAAAAAAAACGGGAATACCCCCAACCAATAAGAATATGGAAAAAAAAGGCAGGAATACTGCCAACCAATACAATTTTATGGCAACATGTGAATATTTATAAATAAAGGGTCTGGCAGCCTGATATAAATATGATTGGTTTACCTTAAGCCTTATCAAACCCAAGGGGAGGGTCTATATGACATTTAAACATGGAAGACATCTGGCACTAACTCACATCTGACTGAAGAAGCTTAGGACGGAGTGAAACATAGTTTGGCTGACACAGGATCTCCTTATAAAAGTGTGGACAGTATTTTATGATTTTATATTACTGTTTTATTCTTTTTTTATGTTAATAAGTTTATTAGTATTTTTAAGAGTCATCTGGACTGCCTTCATGAATCTTTATTTGGGGAAGTGCCACCCCCTCTATGGTAGCACTATACCTGTATACCATAGAGCCTGGAGTTTAGGCTCTAAATAAGGTAAGCTCAAAACCTACCTCCTATTCTATTGCTTTTATTTCGAAAATACTACACATTGGTGGCCTCTCTTTCTTTTATGTTACCGGATTGAACATCTTTATGAAGGAGTGGTGTGATGCTGCTCTAAGAGCATTACAGCCCTTTATACGGAGCCAATACATGTATAGGCTCCACTACATGTGAGTAATCTAACCTTCTAAAGATATATTACTTGAATATAATTATCATCTGCACTATATCTAGGGTTTTCTATGTACTAGATAATCTTCTGTACATGTTTATATACATGGGGTAAGCTACCCCCTAATTTCTGTATTTCAGCGCTCCACCATAGGTATAAGTGTATCTTGTACCATTAGAAGGTGTAAATTTATTGTGGTGTGTGGGGAAGAGGGTATTTTACACTAGTGTGTAGAGCTGCTATTTTAATTACACTTTAAGCACTTTTTGAAGTAACACACCACCTCCCTAAAGGAGGTTTTTTTGGTTATATTGATAACACTAAGTTAATTATCCCCCAAACATCCATGCAACTTTACAATATACCCCCAAACATACAAACTGACACAAATAAGTCCCACATAGCTTATATCCCAAGACAGCTATGAGTCGAAGGAACAAATGGGATGAGGCTTGCCAGAAACCTGCAACAATGAACAGGTTGGACTGGAATACTAGAGGGACATGCACTGGTGAGGAGAGACCAAGACACGGCAAAGGAGCATAAGGTAAGACCACAGGTAAAAGGTGACCTGACGTATATTTTGCCTTAGGATATATTCACTCTCCCAAAATGATCTATGTAAACATCTTATAACCTGATGAGGATAAAGTAAATCAAAAGTTTTGACCTTAATTCCATAATAAATATGCTTCCTCAAAGTCAAGGCAGTTCAAGCACAGTATCGGTGGTGCCATTATTCACATCTCTTCAGTAAAAGGAAAACAATAGTTCCCCATATCAAGATATTTTGGAACAATGTTTCCATTCCCTTTACATAAAGCTGAATAATGAAAAAAATCACCATTAACAAATCATAGGTCTAAAGTGCAATGTCTATAAAGTTCAGTGTGCAGAAGTCCAGTGTCCTAGAATGGACACATATGAGCAAGACTACAACACTACAGCAAATCTGTGAACTAAGGAAATTTGCTAAAATGTTTGATCACTGAAGAACTCCACAAAAAAAAAAGTCCTGAGCTTCATAACAAAGTACTTACTGCTTTAATGAAAGATTAAGATTCCCCCTGGAACAATAAGGAAGGGGGAACATGACTGCTGCCCAAGAGTGTGGGCTGGATCATGGAAGCTACAATGTTGCTAATGTTGGGGGTTCTTAAGTAAAGGGAGAGGGAGGGGACTTACCAGTCGGCAGAATCAGTTGAGGACTCCTGACTGTTTTCCCACCCTTCCTCCCTGTTTTCTGGTGTTGTGTCTTGTGTCTTGTGTTGTTGTTTTGTGTTGTCACAGCTTGGCGGTTTCCCTGGACAGCGCAGAGGAAGAAAGGAACATTGGGGAGATGACAGCCGTCACGGAGCTGATGGCGAGGAGCTGGCTGTCGAGGCTCATGGTACCAAATGTGTGTGAGAACTGCCTGTTGGGCAAACACCCAACAGCTGGCAGATTTGGACTGAGTTAAATTGTTATCTTACATAAAGCTGTGGCCGTTGCCCTTATCCACAAGAATGAGGTGTCACGTGTATTATTGGGGGGCAACAGGTTTTTGGTTGGCACTGGTTGGGTCAGCAGTCAAGATACTGTGTCTGATTTAAGAATGCGCATATGTATGAAAACATCAGTTATCACTTTGTTTGTTAGGCATTATGCTTATACATAAGAGGAAGATGTCATGGGGTCCTTACTTCAGACTTGGCCAGCATGGTAGGTATCCTGAGGATTCAAATTGTGGCTATCCTTTCTTTATTTGAAAGACCATCTCCCAAATAATGTTTTAATAAATGACTTGATGTCTAATAACCTAATGTTCCATCATAGAAATATGTAATAGATTATCAAAGAAACTAATATATCAGATTTATTTAATTTTGTGAAGTAACTCTAAGCAGGCTTGAGAGACTATCTTTTTTTTTCTTTATACAGTAACAAGCAAACTGGGTAGAGTGACAGTTATCAAGTGAATGTTTATTTGTCATGCAACTTATTTTGGCTCATGCTACGTTGGAGTTTAAAATAAATGTATTTCGGGAACAGGAAGGACATTTTTAGAGATAGGACAATGCAGGAGTAGAAGTGTTGATGTATCTGAGTATTAAGAAATATAACAAGCAGATTTTGCATAAGCAAATATAAACTGCAATTATGCTTAGTACAGAACGTTCACACTGATCTGATATTATCATAAGGTTGAAACATTTATGCACCTGTAGACTTGAAGGTTTCTGGGTTGCACTTGCAGTAATGAGCTGAGAAACTTTCCATCATTCTATCAATTTTCTGAGCTTCTCCTGGCAGCCGAAATCTACTCAGGAACTGCCTGTGTGAGGTTGAGACAGAGAATCTTTAGTTAGTACAATGAGAATGGTATGTTGATGTATATACAATTTCACACTGTGTTTACTCCATATCTAATTGCCAAATTTTATTGTGTCTATTCTAAATCCATGCGCATATACATTTAAATAGCAAAAATAATGTAAAAGACTTGTACAGTGAAGAAAAATCCAATCTATATATTATACAGAATAACAATCAGATTTTCATTTTAATAGTAGAAGTAGGACTTGCATCCCCCACTCCTTGCACATCACAAAGTAATCAGAAATTGCAATTGCATCTTATCACAGTAACATGTGTTTGTCTTATTATGCTGAATTGCAAGAGCATATGACTAACTTGCATTACATGTGCCTTGGTTGCCATAAAGTCAACTATGTCAATAATTGTCCCTTTCCGAATGTAAGAGTGAAAATTGGTATTTGCAATGTTAATGTAGGTTGACCAGATGTCCTTATTATTTAGGGACTCTGCAACATGCTTCTCAGTGCGTTATTAATACAACTCTGAAGCATTAATTTTCCATGGGCTACTCTGTTGTAAGACACAATCTTATCAAGTTAGTGTAAAGATTCAATATTCTTTAGAAAAGACATGAAATGGGTGTAACAATAGATGTCATAGCAACAAACCCAAGGAGGAAATTGTTGGTATGTTAATGCCTGCCAATGAACTATTAATGATGTTGAAGCAATCTCAATCTCACTATGCCAATATTTTCTTAAAGCGATACACACACACTGCAATGACTGTAAAAAAAAAACATTGGTTAATTAAACACCTTTCACTTAGTAGCATTATCAATGAGTTTATCTGCTTGTAAAACTGAACCTTTGATGTAATTGAAGATCTTGCCAAAGCATTATTTTGTTTTTAATGTAATGTACACGATATATTGTTGGATGATTTGTATACATGGTGCAGCTACCTTTGCCTTACTTATTCTTACCTTAGAGCGTCAACCAAGCCAAGCTTTTCGAAATTGTGACAGTCCACAAATGCATGAAGAACCTTAATATTGAGTGGATCTCTAGTGACCAACAACACAAGATGAGAGAGAAAATATATCGTAAAGAAACAATATTGTACAGCTGGGAAAAAACATGTATGTTACATATTAGTAGAATGTCTAGATTGATATTATTTATTGTTTAATGGCATTCGGCTGCACTGCATTGTCCAGCTGCATTGTGTGACATTAGAGAGTTGTGGGATTAACCTTGAGTTTGCATTATCTTCTACACATTTTGTTATCTCTGAATAGTATATGTCCCTACCCAATAAAATGTTGTTAGTACATTCTTACATTTGACCCATGTACTCTCCAATCGCAGACTTGCTCAGTCCTGTTCCTTGATATAAGAAACTAGCAATTTGATGAGGGTCTTTTTCAAGAAACTTCTTCTCAATTAGCATTTGGATGCCCTGAAAGTAACATAACACCATCAATGAGTTAGCAATACACATATACACAGAAAAAGTGAACAGAGCATAGCACAACACCAAAGAAATGACTGTAATAGTTGTACACAATCTCAAAAAGTCATGTAAAATAGAGAAAGAATTGTACAAACATGTTTCAAAACCTAATCTTATTTTACAGTGAGATGGATCAACAATAGTTTACGTGCATTATGTTTGAACAGTGCAATGATTTATTCTGCCCAGTGCCTCTAAAGTGATCCATATTACCAGCCTACCATTTCTCCATGGTGCTCTTTGTCTTTCTTAATGTTGTATTGTAATTCTGGGTTTGTATGTGCTTTTTAAGAGAGTCTGCAGGCAGATATGTCATAAAACTCTAAATAAACTGATAACAGTCTAGGTCATAGGAGTTCAATTCTAGAGGTCTTGTTCCACGACCTACCTACCTTTTCTGGGTCCATATTAAATTTTCTGCTAGCTCGGTACAGCTCATTCTCCTTTTGGATTTTGCGTCTAAGAGAAGGAATGATCTGCTGTAAGTTTTCACATCACAGTCCATTCTTTACATATTCTGTTAATTCTCTCAATCACACTGTCTGCAGTGTGTAATTCCCCCAAGCATACTCTCCCGCGCTCACCTCTGCTCCATTTGCTCAAAATCATCAATATCAGCCACTATTTCAGTTATCTCATTCTGCAGGTTCTGTGAGTTCGAAATAGAGAAGGTTAGTTGGTGAATGCTGAAATAGAGATTATAGAGAAGCTGAAATGATGTTGGACAAACAGGCTAAACCTTTACATTTGTTTTACCAAAATATAATAGTGCAGCAATCGTCTACTATTTTAAAAGCTGCTAATGCTGTAACTTTTTTTGTAAAAATGCAAGATATAAAATGAGGTAGGGCAAGCATGTATGCAGATCACTTCTGGGGCAACATAAAAACTGGAGTGCAATTAACAGGAATATTCCAATTATTTTTTACAAACATTTTTTTACTTTTCATAACTTTACCCTATAATTAGTTGTTTTTAAAAAAAAAAAAAAACATGTATTTCACAGTCAATTCAAATAAACATATGCCTCAAAGTTATAGTCATAGCATAGTGTAAATAAAAGGCTAACAGGATTATTCCCTAAAGTTTTTTTGTTTTGTTTTATTTTAGGAATTCACCATGAATTAGGTCAAAATAGCAGAATGAGCAATATTGCTTAGGTGAGATATGTTTCAATTTGCCTTAAAATTCACTCTGAATGTACTTTCCATTCCTTCATGACACATGGTTATTAGCTAAAGTGAGAATTCAGAGTACATTTATAATTTAAATTCCCAATTGGAATGCAAAGATGAATTTAGAGAATGTGTCCATTTATTGTAAATTGACCATACATTTAAAATTCAGTTTGAATTCTCACTTTAATGAATAACCATGTAGGTGGTAATCAATGTAGTATATATACAGGGAGAACTATCTGTGGGAATGGAAGTTAATCATTGAAAAGGGAAGATGTGAAACAGAAAGACGTGCAAAAGATAATTCTGATATTTGCACCTTTATAGACTCAAGCAGCTCCTCTCTGCTGCATTGTGTCGGGATCTTGGGTTCTTCTGCCTGAGCTAGATATGTACCTGTGTAAATTCAGAGAGAAATGTAAAAAAAAAGCAATAAAAGCAGTTGAAATGAAAGTCATGGGTGCAAAATAGTGTAGATTAGCCTATGGCACTCTCGTTATTGTGGATTGAGTTTCCTATGATATAAAGCTACTTGGTAACAAAAAAAGAGAGAGGGAACTGATAATAAAAAGGCTTGGTCAGGAAACAGAAACTATCTTGGTCAGAAGGTATTTAAGACCATGCACAATTTGAAGGTCTGAAACCATCTCAGAATGCATTTTGATGTGAATGCAGACCAACTCTTAATTACGTGCATGGTCTTTGGCCGGATAAGCTGGATTTCCGACCAGACCACTAGTGAATTGTTGCACACCGGTATTAGTAACCAAAGGTCTGATAACCTTTAAAATGCATCCAAAGGTGAAGGGCAACTGGCTGCACAGCGTAAGCTGAATACTCAGATACGTTTATTGTGGAATCAAGGTTAAAACAAAAATACAATGTTTCATCCATGATTTAGGCCTCATGGCTGAAATATCGTATCTCTATTTTATCCTTGATTCAACAATAAATCTATCTGAGTATTCATCCTACTTTTGTATTTCTGACCAAAGAGGACTTGAAAATGGTCACCATCATTGAGCAAGGGTGAACCGGTAGATGCATTGAAAATAGTGATTTGCTTTTGCCTACATAAATTCCACAAAGGCCATAAAACATGTTATCTTTTATTATAAATAATATTAAAAAAATGATGACAGATTTCCTTTAAAATGCCTGCTTCAACATATTATCTGCACAGTGATAACATTGTTTAAAGTGACCTGTACCCTGTGTTTATCATCTATACAGCAGACTTTTTATAAAATAAATAATAAAATATTTATAAGTAACGTATGGAATATGACATTTTTTTACAGATTCTAATTGGACATTTATTTCACTTGCTCTCTGTGGGCTTTATTCCATCATTAGTTGACACAAGGGTTGTTAAATATTTATGCAGTTCGAAGCTGACCGCTTTGCTGACAATCCTCAAGTGATAATTGTAGCAAAACATGCTGTAGCTTTGTTACATGAGAAAAGAGGACCCCTTTGTAACTAATGTTTTAAAGGAACCCTTCAAACACCTGATAGTCCTTGCATAGATTATGGTGGTATGGTGTCCCGATTTATTTGTAATTTTTGTTTTTTAGCTGCACTGTTTGTGTTAGCAAACAGCAGTATGAGTAAAAAACAAACAAACAAAAAAAAAAAAAACTACTTCAAATTTAAGCCAACCCTATCAAAGAAATACATTTAACTTTTATGTTGAGGACTCAGAGTGTGAGTGTACACTATATAGACTCCCACTTCCCTGTGCAGGCCTTTCATGGCTTTTAACCACACACATTCTGCATAAACAAAGGAAAACTATTGCATGAACACTATAAGTAAATAACCTCTACTGCTCGAAAATGTTTTTTGGACAGTTTGACTTCTTACCTGGTGTTTTTGCCTCCACTACTACCTTTGTAAAGCCAGAGGTTCCTAAGGAGAAAATTCTGTTAAGCTCTCCTGAGCTAAGCAGGGGTTTATGGGATATAGTTAGCACTTCCATTGAATATAATACGTGGCTAGGAGTGACCTATAGATTTCAACCACTTCCTAGTCTGGACAAAGTTTACTGTGAAAGGTTTAAAATTGCGTTAGTAACTTTAAACATTTCATATGCAACAGTTATTGGTACAGCATTATGGGAAGAATAATCCACACCAACAACATTTGGAGTACCACACGGCAGAGTGTAAGGAGGAGGGCTGTGGCAAAAAGCAGCAAACAAAGTAGAGCATTAAAGTTAAAGTCCCCAGCTGTGTCAGATGAGATTCTAGTTGCTACACATTTCTTGTTTAAAGAACAATCTAACTTCCTGTTTCTTGATGTTTAAGTGATCAAACAAGTTATAAACATTTAAAGGATGCAACATTATAAACCGAATAGGAAATGGCAACTGTCTAAACAATGCCAGGAAATATATGACAGTTAGTAAACTTACAAATGCTCGAAATGTATATATATATTGAAAACACCAGAAATGTTAAAATGTATCTGTCATGTCAATATGGATAAACAAAAGATACTGTATGTGATACTATTGGCTTTTTGATTCTATACTAAGATTTTGGACACCGAAAAGGGATTCCATATTATCTTTAAAATGATTAATACTCTAAAGGATTAGCAAATAAATGAAAAACTAGCAATGCAATTGATGCTTTATTTTACGTGAGAGATATATGTTATATATACATCCCATCTTAAGTAATTGCTATCGCAATTTTTTTTTAAAGAGCAATGTGTACATTAATAGGTCACAGTACAATATTAAAGTACTCTCTAGCTGTAGAATAAATAGTTCAAAATGAGAAAAAGGGCAGGAAACAGAAAGCAGCAATGAACTTTGGACACTCACCTCTGTCAAATGTCTCCATTATAAGTTGGACATCTCTCTCCGTGTCAGATCTGCAGGTTTTCTGTGATTGTACAACAGGTCTCTCACTGTCGGTGCTTCCCATTTGCACAACTTTTTTTGTGTTGCCTCTGTGCTCTTGCTGTCTCAGCTTTGTATGCCTTTGTCTTAAGCTAGCTTTTGACCTCTACGTATTCCTCTTTCTATTCTCGGTTCTCTTTCTGCTCTCTGATGAGAGTACTTTTTTACCTGCTGCCTGTATGTATCTCCCACTCCATTTGTCCTCCGTAATAATGAGTATCACAGCCTTAGATATTTCTTTATTTTTCTGTCTACAGTACTGTTGCTTTCTACTTCAATCCATAATTTATCTGTTCTTTTTCCAACACTTACAGCTCAATTGCGTTCTTAATTCACCATCGTTGTCAGCCTACCTTTTCTTGTTTTGTTCTGCATCTAGAACACTTCTGTAATTGAATTTCTCTGCTATTAGTTCGACCCCTCTACTTCCCTTTATAGAAACCTATACACTATGGTGTTATGGTCAGATCTATGCTTCTTCAGAAGTTCTCGTAATTAAAAAAATAAAAAAATAATATTCTAGTCATAAGAAGGTGACATGCAAGCTTATGGTAATGTTTTGCTGGATGGCGTCATACTTCCTAAAGCTGTCTCCTGTCACATGAAAAAAAAAAAAAAAATACTGAATTATTGCACTAAAGAGTTGAGTTTCCTGTTTCTCATTTTTCTGTGGCTCATAGCAATTTCCTTTCTATCTCCTTACCCCTCCTTGCTTTCATCGTTCTCCTCATCTCTTGCTCTGTCTCTCAGAACCGCCACCTTTCCTGCAAGTTCCTCTCTCTGCAACCACAGGCTGTTTTGTATGAAATTAGTAGCATTCTCTATGCTCGTGTCAGTCTTTTTTTTTTATTATTGTTGTGCTATCAAGCTCAATCTGTTATATCCTGCATTATCGTGAACATGCAGTCAGGGTGGGGTTCACCACTGAGAAGCTGTATGAGATTGAAAAAGAACTTTTACAAGTGATTGCTATCCTGAAGAACTCTTAGAGTTCTATACTGAAATTACAAATTTTACTCCAGTGCTTAGGACAAAAGTGTATTAAAAAACATGGCTTGCATTATGGACATGAAGGTTAATGTTATTCATATTTCAGAGTTCTGTCTGTAGAAACAAAAAAAGAGATGAATGATTGCAAAAAAAAAAAGATCGATGGCTAGGAGAGACCCATTAAATATTGATTGTATTCACAGATAAACCCCCTAAGGACAGAGGCAATTGTACACATTCTGATCAAAACAATAACAAACCTAGAATTTGAGCTATATGTCTGTTCAACCATAATTCACCTCTATCATATTAAGTGTATCCACATTTATTATATATAATCATGTTTAGGAGAAACGGGGCTTTCATTTCATATCAAATATTTATAAAGTTACATAATTACATAGGCTAAAAACGAGGCATGGGTCCATCAAGTCCATAATTTAATATGAATAAAATCTAAAAAAGTTTGAGAAATGAAGAAATGTTATTTTCCAAGTTTTGCATGGCATTTTAATTAAATATTATAATATTGTTAGCTGTTACTGCAAGAAATTAACACATATTTGTGTTCAGCAATGTCTCATGAGTACAACAATACCCCCCTCCACCCCCTATGTACAGGTTTTATGGTTTTTGGAAAGTTACAGGGTTAAATATAAGGCTTTTTCTTTTTTTAGTTTTTACACATTGAAATTTTCAAGATTGGTTTGCTGGGCCTATGTTGCCTTTGAGACCATATGGCAGCCCAGGAATGAGAATTACCCCCATCATGGCATACCATTTGCAAAAGTAGACAACCAAGGGTATTCAAAATGGGGTATGCCCACTGTTTTTAGTAGCCACTTTGTCACAAACCCTGGCCAAAGTTAGTGTTCATATTTGTTTTGTTTTTTGCATTTTGCACACAAAAACAGCACTTTTACTGATGATATCATTGCTATTATACATGTTTTTGTCAATCTTTAATTTTCATCAGTTATCACAGGTTAATCAGAAATTATACATGACAAGAGAAAGCTTATCAGTTAGACAGGTGACAGAGTTTACAAACCTCTTCTTTTTTTTAACATAAATAAATAAAACATGCAACGAACAACAGTGGTAGCTCTTAAAACAGTCAGGATGATGAGTAAGATAACCTCTTAATTATACCGCCTCTGGAGGCAAGGCTAAGTGGTACATAGAAAAGCTATTGTCATACTCAAACGTAGTGTAGGTACCAGATATCTATATGTTAATTTTCAGAGATTAAACAAGCTAAAAAAAATGATAAACATAAATGTAATAACATGCATAAAAACAATATGACACTTTAGTATGCTGATAGGAGCTTTATATGGACACAGTCAATGCTTAAGGTCATTATACATTTTATGACTCACCACTCAGGAGGCAATTGGATTTTTAACAGCCTTTTCATGCTGCAACATCTCATGCTGCCATTTTCATTGGCACTGCAGATCCTTCTGGCACAGTGTCACGGTTCATGCCGTGACATCCAGTCTGCCAGACGTGGTTGCGCCAGAAGCGCCTGATAGGGGATTTGAACTGTGGTTCTTCGGGACCGTATCCTGCTATTTTCCCTCTGAGCCATTTCAGGACTTTGGATAATTCCTGTTTATTCTTGTATTGCCTGCAGCACTAGGGGGCTGGACTTCACCAAAGGCTCAGATCTGTCAGTAACTCTCCAGCTGAATCTGATACCTAATTAACAGGATATAAAAGCCTGCCTCACCCTGGGAGGGGTGTCAGTTCATTGACTCTGGTTCCCTTGTTTGGTTCCTGTTACTCTGTACCTGCGTTCCAGTGATTCTTGTCTAATTCCGGCTTCTGACCTTGGCTTTCCTCCTGGACTACTCTGACCTCTGGCTTCCCTGATTTTGGCTTCCCTTGACCACGCTTCTTCTTATCCCTGTTGTACTGAGACTTGGAGCACTTTTCCTGGAAAGCCCCCGTGCACAGACTCACAGGCCAGGTGGCGTCTTACCTGGTCACCCTGGTCTGTGTCTACTTTGCAAGGGTGAGCGTATAACTCTGCGAGCTGGACTCCCTATCAGGTAAGACTCCGTTACAGATGAACTGACCAATGGAGTCCGCAGAGTTATACAAATTACTCACCTCCCTGGCCGAGCAAGTCTCCAACCTGTCCCAGAATGTTACAGAATTGCAGAGACATTCATTGGCATTTAAAGGAGCAACGCTTCCAGTCCCGGAACATGTATGCCCAGAACCGTATGTCTTTATGCCTGACAGGTTCGACGGTTCCCGTTCTGCTTTTCCGATGTTCAAGACGGATTGTGAGCTACTATTTGCCCTGAAATCGAGAACCTACGCCACCGACTTTATCAAAGTACGCTCCGCTATTAACCTATGTACCGGGCGGATTAAGGCGTGGGCACACCAGAAGTTGCAGGAGAGAAGTACTGTCTTGGACTCTTGGGAGTTGTTTATGTCCGCAATGGATTCTCAGTGTTTTGCAGCGAGAAAAGCAACTTCCAAGCCTACTTCAGGTTCTCGCAGAACCCGTTTGCCGAGAGAAGAGGAATTGTTTTATGGATACAAAAATCCCATCATGTTGCAGCATGAAACCACTTTCAGGGACCCGCCTTGTAACCCTGTTTACACTCGCGCTAGCAGTGAAACTCCAGTCGACATGGAGGAACCCATGGAGATTGGCTTCACCAGAACTAGATTGCCCCCAAAGGAAAAAGATCGCAGGAGAGCCCATGGTCTATGTCTATACTGTGGGAAAAGAGGGCATTTCATATCGCTCTGCCCGACTCGTCCACCTAGGCCAAGACCCCTTCTGTCTGGTGCCATATGGACTTACCCTGTCATCCCAGCAAGACAGCCTGGACACTGCCAGCCCTGTCCCCGTCCTGTGACACAAAAGGGTACCCAAACTAATACCGTTAATGTTACCAGTACCTCTGTGGAAACTTCACCTCCTGCTCTAGAAACATTTGGACCTCTTCCTGATGACACTTCTGTTCAAGCAAGCACCATCACCACTTCCTGCCTTGCCAAAACAGTTCTGCCTCCTGACTGCACCTATGCCTCAAATGGCACAGTAGTGTGCAAACAGGATCTAGAAGTATTCGAAAAATCTTTGAAAGCTGCAAATGCCTCCCCTATAGCACCCGAAACTGGTACCATAAAATCCCAGGTCGTAATTATAAAGACTATCTTAGTGATACTGATACCGAAGATGAGGAGTACCATTTCAAGGAAGAGCCTGTTCACGCCCGGAGGGCGTTCTTGACGGGGGGGTACTGTCACGGTTCACGCCGTGACATCCAGTCTGCCAGACGTGGTCGCTCTGGAAGCGCCCGATAGGGGATTTGAACTGTGGTTCTTCTGGACCGTATCCTGCTATTTTCCCTCTGAGCCATTTCAGGATTTTGGATAACTCCTGTTTATTCTTGTATTGCCTGCAGCACTAGGGGGCTGGACTTCACCAAAGGCTCAGATCTGTCAGTAACTCTCCAGCTGAATCTGATACCTAATTAACAGGATATAAAAGCCTGCCTCACCCTGGGAGGGGTGTCAGTTCATTGACTCTGGTTCCCTTGTTTGGTTCCTGTTACTCTGTACCTGCGTTCCAGTGATTCTTGTCTAATTCCGGCTTCTGACCTTGGCTTTCCTCTTGGACTACTCTGACCTCTGGCTTCCCTGATTTTGGCTTCCCTTGACCACGCTTCTTCTTATCCCTGTTGTACTGAGACTTGGAGCACTTTTCCTGGAAAGCCCCCGTGCACAGACTCACAGGCCAGGTGGCGTCTTACCTGGTCACCCTGGTCTGTGTCTACTTTGCAAGGGTGAGCGTATAACTCTGCGAGCTGGACTCCCTATCAGGTAAGACTCCGTTACACACAGCTAGTTAAAACATTACAGCTTCTGTGTTTTATGGTGCTTGGACTTGTTGCCTGTGTTACACCCTATTTCTTGGTGCAACCCCCAAGAAGGAATAAAGGAGTGCCCAGCAAAGACTTTGGTGGTGCAGTTAGTGCCACTATTTGCTGAATAGGTAGAGCAGAGAACTTAAGTAATGTCCCCAATGTTTGGTCTTGGTAGTGGTGTTGGTGAGGAATCTGGTGATGATATTGCTCTTTCCCCCACCACTCCAGACACTTATTTAAGTGTGACTCAGGAGGAAAGTGACTTATGATACAGAGGGATTACAAGAGGAGAGTCTAGAGACAGCAGAGGCAACTATGTTCTGCACCTACTGTGCATTTATCCATTTGTACATCACTATAAACAGTAGAATTTCTTCATTTCATTTGGAGCATATTCTCCTACTAGTGCCAGAAGTAGCTCACCCAATGAGATTATTATTTAAAAAAACACCATTACCATTCCCATTAGTATTAGTCAACCAGGTGCTAATGTGGATACTAGTGTTGTGACAGCTTCCAAATATACATATCCACCTGCATATTCATCAGCCACAAGACCAAAGGTTGAGGCTAATAGATTGCGCTGAAGCAAACTGGCATTTCTCTGACAGCCTCCCTGAAGAGAAAAATTACAAAATAAACGGTGTGACAAGTAAGTGAAGGGGCATCTCAATATTGACAGTATGAACCAGCATCTTCAAAGACATGACAAGTCTGTATTACTGAGGGAGAAGCAGAAAGTGAATGTACTAGGGCAGGCAGCAGGTCCACTAGTACTATATCTGATTCTGTGCAACCAAGTAGTACCATAAGTACCTCCACCACGACAACCACCCTTAGGCAGAGCAGGGGGATGTTGAGCCAAGTGTCAGTAGGTGGCAGGAACAGGCAGGCTCCCAATCCACATTACTGCATGGATGTTTCTACCAGCCCATTCATGAACATTTTGTTGGATTTCATGCCAGGATCATGTCAGAACAGCAGGCTAACAAAATCACCTACCTGTCTGCCCTGTGGATTGCTGTAGGGAGATATTTATTTTCCATGCCATTAAGCAACTGATACAGGCCTTTGCTCCACAAAGTATACTTCCCTCGTAATTCACATTCAGCAGGAAGATAGTCACAAAACTGTGCCATTCCTGCATGCTACTTGTGAAGGAGAACTGACTAAGACTGTAGGTCAATAGGTGCCCTACACCACACATTTATTGAGTGTTCCTAGAGGACAAAATGACTTCTTATCTTTGATGGCACACTGGTGGCAGCTCCTGGTGCATGGACATGGAAATGGCAATGGAGGATGTGAAACCTTTGCAGCATATCAGGAAGTGGGTCTGTAGGGCAGAAGATCTATAGTTCTCTCTTGCTTAAGTTATGGATGTAAAGAACATTTCAGCAAACATACTGCAGGCAATCAGATGAATTGTGTCAAATTGGCTGAGAGAGCAGGCAGACACCGATCTGCACATTGGGTTCTTAGTCACAAACAGACCTGCTATCATGGTCAAATACCTTTTGAGATGGTTTCTTTGTAGGTATGCACACATTCTACATCTTGTAGTGAAGGGTGCAGTTTAGAAAGCCAATATAAAGATTCAAATTATAGCTGAGCATTGAAGGAGGATGTCTGTGCATTTCTACCACAGCGTGAGGGCTAGCCACCTTTTGAGGCATGAGCAAAAGAGAAAAGAGCGCTTTTCTCACACAGTCTAAGACCAGATGTCAGCACGTGGTGGAACTCCATTTACACATTGTATTTTGGATCAGCAATGATCAATCCATATTCTAGCTTCCCACCACTCAATAGGCAACTCAATATTGTGGTGAGAGGATTGGACAATAATACAGAAACCAGTAGCAGTTTGTGTTCCATTTAGGGACATGACACAAAATTCGAGCCACAGTAATGTGAGTTTGGGACATCATTCCCTTCTCTCATCTCATGAACATGATGGGTGTCTTCCTGGAAAACAAGGAATTAGTTCCTGGTGGCACACTAAATACCAATGTAACAGCAGTTGTAATGAAGCTGAAAAAGCTATACTATGCCTGTTTGAACGAATAAGTTGCTAATTGCCCAGAACTGATGCTAGCTTCCCTCTGTGATCCTTGGATTAAGAGGAAAGTGGCACTCCAATCCCACAGCCTGACATAATGAAGGGATACCCTTATTATCTCTTTCTGTGGCTTACAGCAAGAAAGAGGTTGAGGAACATATGCACATTGAACCTAGCATGTGGACATTATCTACTACTCCCAGCAGCAGCAGCACTGGCTGCAAAACCTAGAGACAGCAGAGTTGAGCAGCAAAGATTTGGTTTAATGTTATTGGCAGTTTGGGGGGAGAAAGTGAAGAAACAAGCAGTTGAAGGACAGTACCTAAAGTATGTGCCTAATCAAAAAGTCAAGCCTACATGTCTGATAGTACTTTGCCTCCTACTAGTGATCCTCTGAATTACTGAGATGAGAAAAGAAGAGTGTGTGGCCATCTCTATCTTTTTGTTTGCCCAGCTATTGTCATGTCAACTGACCAATATCCAAACTAAGCAAGTAACATTTTCTGTTTTAGGGAACAATTGTAGATTATGCTAACGTAGTGTACCTATAATCTTAATTTTAGTAATGACAGGAGGCGAGTATTTGCATAACTCTCTTTACTGAAAATCTCCAGCAGCACAGAAACCGAAACATCCAATCAGAAAAAAAAGTCAAATGTTACATAAAAGGGGAGGAGTCTGACTTAGCATGGTGTGATATCTTAAAAGTAACCCCTTCTGGAGTGAAAGAGAAACCATCGACATCGAACGCCTTGACGTCTGCCACTCGACGAAACGAGATGAGACATAGCAAGAGGGTAAATTTGGCTGCAATTGTTTCAGCGAAAAGTACGAGTTATCAGGCCACTCTCTCAGGAAATGCAGCACCACATCCACGTGCCAGAGACGTGAATATTTCGGTTCTAGAGGTCTCGACAACTTAGCACCCCATAGTAACCGATAAACCAGTGGGTCCTGACCCACCGGACTGCCCTGTACCGGAACGTGTGCTGCTGAAATAGCTGATCTAATCTCATTGAGGGATCAGTATGACCGACCTAGCGAAAACAGGTGTGAGAGATAGTTGAGGATTAATGGGACAGGAGCAGTAAAGGGATCGGAATCCCTCCCCAGGCAACTACTCAAGGCAGACCACGCTGAAATATAACATGTCCTGGTGCCGGGAGCCCATGAATCCCATAGGAAATCCTTTGCTGATTGTGATAGGCCATGGACTGACCAGGAACCCCTGAAATCATCCAGGTCACTAGGTCCAGCTTCTGATTTAGTACAAGGGGGTGAGGTTCTCCTCGTGGTCCCATCAGAAGTAGAGGGAAGGTTGGTAGTAGAAGCGAGCATCGTGGGACATCTCCAATAAATCCGGGAACCATGCCTGACTCTGCCAAAGTGGGGCTATGAGAAGTAGAGATATCTTAGTACATGACGGAGCACTCTTGCAATCATGGAGAACGGGGGGAATGCATATGCCCTGTGTTTCGGCCATGTTTGTAGGAATGCATCCACTGCTTCGCAATTCGTATCCGGGAGTCAACTGCAGTATTCGGAAATTGGTGGTTGGTCCAAGAAGCAAATAGATCCAGAATCAGCGGGTCCTCCCAATACTGAAATACTGAGTCGTCGAGTTTCCAGTCGCTATTGTCTCGCCAATGGCGAGAGAACCAATCCGCCGTCAGGTTGGAAATTCCCGGTAGGTATTCCGCTCAAAGTGTGATATTGCGAGATAGGCAGAACTTGTATATGTCCTTCATGACCTCTGTAAGGGCTTGGGATCTGGCTCTACCCAGGCGGTTGATGTACTGCACTGCCGAAATGTTGTCCATGCGGAGCAGAATGCAGCAGTTCGACATGTCTTTGGCCAGGCTGCGGATGGCGAAGGACCCCGCAGTCAAACAGTTGATGTGGAGATCGGTTTTTTTTTTGCCCCGTCAAGGTCCCCCTGTGGAGGAGTCCGTGCAGTGTGCGCCTCAAACCCAGAGGCTGGCGTCCGACTCCATGTTGAAGTTCGGGGATGAGCCAAAGATCGTTTTGCCATTCCAGGCTTGCATGTGTAGAAGCCACCAGTGAAGTTCCGTCTGAACGTCCTCTGAGAGTAGTGATGTTGCGAACCCGAAATTTTCGGTTCGCGAATGGCGAACGCGAACTTCCGCAAATGTTCGCGAACCGCCCGAAACGCCATTGACTTCAATGGGGAGGCGAATTTTAAAACACACAGGGACTCTTTCTGGCCACAATAGGGATGGAAAAGTTGTTTCAAGGGGACTAACACCTGGACTGTGGCATGCCGGAGGGGATCCATGGCAAAACTCCCATGGAAAATTACACAGTTGATACAGAGTCTGGTTTTAATCCATAAAGGGCAGAAATCACCTAACATTCCTAAATCACAATCAATATGGATTGACACCCGACATATGACATATTGACACCTTGACATATGGATTGACACCTGTCCTCAGAGCCCCTGATGCACACGGACACAGAGCAGAATTAGAGACTGGTCCCCCTACATAGGGTCACTTGGCAGATATGGATTGACACCTGTCCTAAGGATCCCTGATACACACTGATACACACCTACTTGGATGGTATAGACATTTTTAGCAGCTCCTGGCCCGAACACCTGACCCACATAGGAGCCGTAATAGACCGGATTAGGGAGTCCGACTGACCCTAAAGCCCAGTAAGTGCCATATAGGAACGTAAAAACCTCCCCCTAAGATAGTAGTATGGGCCCCAGAACAGGCCTTCCAACAGCTCAAGACGGCCATTAAATCACCTGTGTACTTCTTCTTCTCCTGATCCAATCCAAACACCTCTCGTCCATACAGACGCTTCTGGCGCGCTTGGATTGGGAGCAGTATTGAGCCAAGTCGGAGCAGATGGTGGCTAGCAAACCGGGGCTTATCTAAGCCGTAAACTTTTGCACAGCGAAGTATATTCACTGCCATTGAAAAGGAGTGCATAGCGGTGGTGTGGGCCCTCATAAAGCTGCAACCTTACTTGTATGGACAACCGTTTACCTTACTCACAGATCACAACAAATTTGGGGCACTGCGCCTGCAATCTAATGTGCCACCAGATAGGAGTGGTGTGTTAAGTAGTACTATTCTTATCAGTTTAATCCCTGTTACGCTCTATCCGCTGGATGTGAGCAAGACGCAGCAGCAGAAGAGGAATTGCCGAGAGGTTGGGTAGCAGGATGAGAGGAGGAGTAGAGGAGGTGGCAGCACTGGCAGAGTACACTTGTAGGGGCTGATACACCCGCCGGAGACAAATTTTAACTGCTATTCAATCTATAACTGATGTTTGTTTCACAGGCAGAAAGTGCCCTAAAACATGGCGGCTTGAACCCTAGTTGGTGGCGGATAAGTCACGCAAGTCAACCGGCATTCAGAGCTAAAATACAGCAGCGTGTGGACCATTTTTAGCTCAAGGCAGCTCATCTCATCAGGCCTTTTTTAATCTAATGTATCGCCCAGTGTCAGTTCCTTCGGGATCCATCCCTCATTCATCTTAATAAAGGTGAGGTAATCTAGACTTTTTTGACCTAGGCGACTTCTCTTCTCAGTGACAATACCTCCTGCTGCACTGAAGGTCCTTTCTGACAGGACACTTGAAGCGGGGCAGGCCAGAAGTTCTATCGCAAATTGGGATAGCTCAGGCTACAGGTCAAGCCTGCACACCCAGTAGTCAAGGGGTTCATCGCTCCTCAGAGTGTCGATATCTGCAGTTAAGGCGAGGTAGTCTGCTACCTGTCGGTCGAGTCGCTTTCTGAGGGTGGATCCCGAAGGGCTGTGGCGATGCGTAGGACTTAAAAAGGTCCGCATGTCCTCCATCAACAACACGTCTCTAAAGCGTCCTGTCCTTGCCGGCGTGGTCATGGGAGGAGGAGGATGACTTCCACCTCTCCCCCTGTTAGATTCCTGTTGTGCTGTGACATCACCCATACGCTGTGTAAAGCATTCTTTTCAATTTATTTTGCAAATGCTGCATCCTTTCATACTTGTTGTAATTCGGTAACATTTCCGCCACTTTCTGCTTATACCGGGGTCTAGTAGCGTGGACACCCAGTACAGGTCGTTCTCCTTCAGCCTTTTTATACGAGGGTCCCTCAACAGGCACGACAGCATGAAAGACCATTTGCACAAGGTTGATGCCGAAGCTACCATTTCCCCGCTCCTCTCACTGATGTCAATGAAGGTATTTTCTTTCCCCAGCCACGTAACAACACAGGTACCAGATAGGTGACAACGAGCACCCTGGGATGCCTGTTGTGGTTGGTCTTGCCCTCCTCTTCCTCCTCCTCAAAGCCACATTCCTCCTCTGACTCCTCTTCCTCACAATCCTCTTCCAGCGTTGCCGCAGGTCCAGCAAGCGATGCTGATAAGGCTGTTTCTGGAGGTGATGGTGACCACAACTCTTCCTCTTCCTCTTCACGCCATCTACGGCCTGATCCAGCACTCTTCGCAGGGCACGCTCCAGGAAGAAAACAAATGGTATGATGTCGCTGATGGTGCCTTCGGTGCGACTGACTAAATTTGTCACCTCCTCAAAAGGACGCATGAGCCTACAGGCATTGCGCATGAGCGTCCAGTA